CAATAAACAAATAATGGAAACACTGCCATAGACATCCGCGATTTAATAGGAGCCCAATCTGACTGGCTTTCATTCGCTGTTTATTTTGTTCATTTCAGCGTCGCGGCACTGTTGATCCATGAGCGTAGGTAAGTGCATCAACGTAGTGCTCATGTACGGGGTGTTTAAAATTCGACTCTCGCTATTGGGATCTTAGAAACGGTAATATCGGATAATGGGAGTAAAGTTGCGTATTTAGGTGAGTAAGAAAACTGTGTTTAGAAAGTTTCGTAATTCCGAGAATTTCTGGAGATTACGAAAGTAACTGAATGCTCCATATATCGGTTTTATTTCTTGCTGACTTTATTTAAGAAGGGATTTCAAAGTAAAGGGTAAATTAACAGTGCAACTTTTTCGCCTCTTCAATGGCATAATTAGAATTTCAATATGACGTTGTGTATCTTTTCTTCACTGATAAAACTTTATTTTTTCTTATAGACGGCATATTGGCATTTTGCATGAGTGACTAGAATTTTGAATCCTGTTTTAAAAATATTATATGTCATACGTTACCGTTGACAGACCTTAATTATTTCAAAGAAACTAATATTTTCGTAGTTGGCTCTGAAAGTGACAGTTTATAACATGCTGATCCGATTAGACACTTTATAACATGTATATTCGATTAAGTGACTAATGCTTCAATTTCTGAGACTTCTGCTTAAAGGACATTCAGTTAATTTGCATATTTATCTTAACGCGATGGAGGGGCTCTACTTACATTTCAGCAGTAAATTAATAGTATTCGAGTGCAAGATCGGTTTAGATATGAGAGATATTTAGGAAGTTAACATCGTTAAGGCCTTTACTTGCTCCAAACTGTTTCTATCACTTACATAAAATAATAATGCATTAAAGGATCCCCCAAACCAACGCGATTAATCCGCTGCGATATTCGTGGCGATATAATACTCGCGAAATTCGCTGCGAACATCTGAGGGACTTTCATATCGAAGCGAAAAGATCGCAGTGGATTGGCAGTAAACGGTGTGAGAGTGTAGCTTGAAAATCAAATTAAAACATGTACTCTTCAGATGAAGAAGAAGCAATTCTATATCTTGCTTTGGCGGAGGAAGAACGGTATAGGTATGTATTTCTTGCAATATCTAGGTCTCAAAAAAATAAATATAATTATATAATATATATAATAATTTTTTACGCAGTAAGCAATGTGACGAACAGTATATACACCTTCCAGACGAAGATCCAGATCCAACACAAGCCTTTAACAACATCAAAAATGATCCAAGACGTGCAAAGAATCTGGAATTTTCTACACGAGAAAAATTTGTTGATTACTTCAACTCCTAATATTGTTGGTCAAGATCAGCTTAGCTAAGCCATTCATAAATAATAAACGTATTATAATAATTTCTCAGTAAAGAGTAACTTACCGGTGTCATTCAATTCCACTCCCATCTCATCCCAGATTTTGTCTTTTTTTCGAACATTTTTGTAGTCCTCGTTGTTCAAGTCATAGAGAATTGGAAATTGTTTAATTATTTCCAGAAGTTTTTCAGTGTTTGCCATTGCGATAGCGATAAAAATCGTGCAAGCAGCGAATTAAAATTTAGACGCTGCACTGTCGCACCGCTCTGAGCGAAATTGACGCACAGGACAGTTCTTGTTCATTTGCTTCTACGAGAAGAGTCCCTGGGCGATAATGCCGTCGCGAATTAATCGCAGTCGCTGCGAAATATTCGCGTCGGTTTGGGGGATCCTTTACATCGGAAATAGGGACCGTCGCCTATACTCGGGAACCGAAAATGAAAAGAGTAGCAAAACACATCGCACACCCATGCTCACGCGGCATCTGAATATGGCGGGATCCCCGCGCCAGTTCAAAAAGAAGTCGCCTGCGATATATTTCGCTGCTCTCTTCCCGAGTATAGCGCATAAAAACTGGAGGAATGCCTGACTGATAATATTATGAAACAAACGATTATCTGATAAATTCAAGGCCTATTTAGGAAACACTGTTTTTTGTTTACTGAGCTGGAAATGCTATACAATCATTCGGCGTTTATTTCGTGGTGCTATGGAATAGAGTCAAAGGAAAGTTTAGCTTTTACGCAAATCCAACTCTCTAGTCATGTCACAAGGTGGAGCTTTCGGATTTCAACAACACGCGTCCATCCAAAATTCACTCTTCTCCTCGGATCGTTTCTGTTTAACCCAATAGCATCTGCTGGAGTGAAAATCTACTTGCTACGCTCTTGGGCGTGACTCTCTGACTACAGATTTCAATGGAATGCAATTTGCCTAGGTCGGAATGTCAGTGCCTGTAAACAGCATCGGTTCGCTTTAACTGGTTCTGTGGTATCGCGGCGCGGTGTTCGAAGTACACCGCCTCTTTTTACAGAGATTCTGCCAGGAAGTTGACGTGCACCGAACGCTATAGGAATAATTGCTGTTTGGAGTTCACATTGTTTAGTGTAATGGTAAAGAGCTTCTGGTGGCATGAACTGAATGCTGATCGTTAGCTTGCTCTTAGTTATTTATTTTAGGGTTTAACTCTGACAGAACGAGCTTATTGTGGTACCGAGAATGATTTTTTTCTTCTTCTTCATGGTGAAGTTCCACGAATTTTCAGACTCAAAATGAGTCGATTGGACATGATTTACCTCTATGCAAACGTTCTTCGTTTGACCGTTAGAGGGCGTTAGCTTTTTTTTGAAACACATTTTCTCAGATATTTTTGGAACCCATAGACCGATTTGAATCAGAGGGGTAAAAACTACCCCCACCGCTACAAAAATTATAGCAACTCGCAACTCTCTTAGCGACTCTGAGTTGTTTTTATTTAAAAGATCTTTTCACTTACTTAATTTTTTGTCTAATATAAAAATGCGCCATCTCGCATAGCGGGTCTTAAATAAGTGTTAAAATCTAGTAGGCGTCTAGTTGGAGGACATGTGGGATATTATGTCAGTGTCAGATTATTTTTGACAACAAGCTTCATTAAGTTTAAATTAATAAGTAATGTTTGAGTTTATTATTGATTGATATGTTGTTTGTTCTTGATAAATTAGAAATTAATCAACGTTTGATATTGTTTTTTGTTAAGTTGTGTCAGAACATAAATCACCTTTTAAGTGCAATCTGTATAGCTAATATATTAGGTACCTAGACTTAGATTTGCCACAAGTCCCAATACTCGTATATACGTATCAATCGTAAGAATTGTGCTGTAAACAAGTAACGTCAAAGAGCATTTGGAATACCAAAGGATACCAAAAAATAGCAATGCTCAGTTCCTATAGCTATAACTTATAGTTAGCATGCTTCTGTCGCCATGATGTGTCAGGAAGTAACACAATGGTGTTAGATTACAAAAGCAAATGTCAGACGTTTAGAGGCGGACGCACGCCCCCGCGCCGTCCCTCTAAATCCGCCACTGAGTTGTGTTGTTAGTGTTCGGTTTCTGCCAAGGTAAATGCAAAAAAAAACAATTCGTGTATATCAAGAGATATATCCGATTCCAGGAATTTCAAATCGTTAGATAGAGAAGATCCAGGTATCAGCACTCGCATATGAACAAGCAGTTTGAGATTTATACAAAAGATACCAGAACGCAGAGCAGCTTATAAGTCATTTCACAATATTTTTCATTTGCAGAAGAGTCATGTTTTACCCGACGTATGATAAATTTGCATAGTACACAACATGTTTACGCTGAAGAAAATCCGCATGCAGTTTCATTTTCAAGTGAACTTTGGATGGGAATTAATGGATGGAAATTTTTAGTTGGTCTATACTATAGTCTGCCTGATAAATTAGACAGCGATAGCTATCCTTATTTTCTACAATATTTTTTGCCTCTGAATGTAAGAAGAGACATGTTTTTAAGCATGATGGTGCTCCACCTCACTTTGCGGGTGCGTTAGAAATTACAGAATAATGACAACTTGGAGAAAGTCAACTATATTTTTTTTTAAAGATTCGCGATATTGCCTGTATTAAACAAAAGTGCAATAACTAATATCATACTTATTTATGTTCGCTAACTACAGTTAAAGAATTAATAAGACGTTTGAGAACATCTTCATGAAACTAATTTTTTTCTCGAAAACTATCCGAGTCGGTGTGTATTTATAGCAGACAATAAATGAAGATAATAAAAAGATCTGCTAAATAAAAAAACTTAGTAGTCGTCGGGAAAATTTCCAAAGAATTCTGCTATAATTGGTGTGGGGGTGAGATTCGCTTTTACCCTTCAGTTTTTTTTTGTAAAAATCAAATATTAGGATATCTAGCAAAACACAAAAATATCTGAAAAGATGTGTTTTAAAGAGAAAACTTGGACGCCCTCTAACGGATTAACGAACCACTTTTGCATAGAGGTAAATCATGCCAAATCTACGTATTTTGAGTCTAGAAATACGTGGTACTTCTTAGTATTCAGTATATTGGGACACCCTTTATAACACCAACGAGTAGCTGTTTGTCAGAAAGCAGCGAGTTCAATATTTTGAGTGATGGTAGTTAATAGTACTAAAACAATCCTCTCAGTGCCTGAAGCAGCTGACGATCCAGACTTTTATTCGTTCAACTATAGGAATATTATTTATTCTTTTCTTCATACATACAGGGTGGCGCATCAAAAACGAAACAGACTCATTTACTGGCAGCTCAGTTTTTTTTTTTGAAAAAACGCTCAGACACGTCGATTTTGTTTTCGAGGGGGACCCAAGTTTGGCAGCAAATCACGTTAACACGTGCAGCTCCCTGGGCGGGGGTGACACCAACCCTATAATCTTAAATGGAAAGGGGGGTCGAGTGATACCTTATTTTAAAGGCCTTTCAATTCCCTTTATAATGATGTGAAATACATGAGCTTCAGTTCAGTAGTTTTGAAGATTTATTGATTTAAAGCTTAAATAAAATTAATACATCATCATTACTGAAGATCAATACATTTGGCAGCAAAGTAATTTAAAAATAAAGAACGAACTGACCCGTTAGGCAAGTAAATGTTGAAAATGGCCTCCATGACTCTCCATGCAATAATAAAGATTTTGCTCAAAACGTTGCCGCACATTTTGCAATATTTGAGGAGTAATTTGAAGGCACTCGTTCACAATTCTTTGTCGCAGGTCTTCTAATGATGTTGGCTGAGTAGCATAGATTTTGCCTTTTAAATCACCCCACATAAAGAAATCCAAAGGTGATAAATCTGGCGATCTTGGGGGCCATTCAATGGCACCTCTTCTACCAATCCATCGATCTGGAAACGTCTGATCTAAATATTTTCGAACACGTAATGCGTAATGTGGTGGGGCACCATCCTGTTGGAATATCAACCTATTCGCAATGTACCGCCGATCATTCTGATTTTCAATTATGGCTGTTAATGCAGGATCTATGGTGTCTTCCAGTAATTCCAAATATATTTCACCGGTCAAATTTCCAGGTAAGAAAAAAGGACCAACTAAATGATCACCAAAAATACTAGCCCAAACATTTAATTTTTGTGGCTGCTGTGTATGAACCTCATGATAAATTCTGGGATTAGAATCGAACCAATATCGGCAGTTATGACGATTTACTACGCCATTTAAGAAAAAGGAATATTCGTCAGAAAAGCAAGTGTTGAATAGAAAATGTTCATCGTTTATAATTCGTTCACTCATATCTTCATAAAATTGTAATCGCCGATCAAAATCGTCTTCATTAAGTTCTTGTACCAGGTGAATTTTATACGGATGAAAACTATGAGCCTTTAGACTCCGTTGGACAGTACGTCGACTAACACCACACACAGTCTCCAATTTGCGGATACTTAACATAGGATCTACATAAACTTGCCCTAAAACCCCCACTTCTATTGCTTCGATCCTTATGGGATTTCCAATGTTGCGTTTTTTATTGGCGACTGACCCAGTTTCCAGAAATTTAGCTGCAAGTTCTAGAACATATGTATTTTCGATGCACGTTGCTGCTCTCATGTCGCTCATTAAATATTTCTGCTGTTCTATTAGCGCACTGATTATTTCCGAAAAATATTTCGATAATTTCAACTCTTTCTGCTGTGGAATATACCGTGGTTAATTTATGTAATAAAGCGTTACAAGTTATTTTAGCAACAAAGTTTGGTCAAATCAATCGCAAACTATGTACTAAATTCCTATTTAAAATAAGTACGAGATATTTCCTTATCTGTCTTCAAGAAATAACTTTTTTGCCACAAAAAACGCTCTAATAGCTATTTTCAACAACAAAATGATAAACAAACCATAGGCACAGTGAAGAAAAGCATTTACTTATTAAGTAAATTCTTTTAGTCAAATCTCTTCTCAAAGTAGTACAAACTAATCTGATGTATCTATTAAAGTCTACTTTAAGCTTTAAATAAATAAATCTTCAAAACTACCGAACTCAAGCTCATGTATTTTACATCATTATAAAGGGAATTGAAAGACCTTTAAAATAAGGTATCACTCGACCCCCCTTTTCATTTAAGATTTTAGGGTTGGTGTCACCCCCGCCCAGGGGGATGACCGTGTTAACGTGATTTTTTGCCAAACTTGTGCCCCCCCTTGAAAACAAAATCGCCGGGTCTGAGCGTTTTTCCAAAAAAAACTGAGCTGCCAGTAAATGCGTCTGTTTCGTTTTCGATGCGCCACCCTGAATAATCCTGGACCAGACAGCGACGATGCAAGATGGTCGGTACTGTAGGTCGAGCGGTAGGCTAGATCTCATTGTTGGACTATGGATTGATTGTAGGATCCATTTAATTCCTTTGTTATACATCTTCGTGGTCCACTCTGAAGAGGAGGTTCTGTGTGCACAAGTTGACATCTTCATTGAATGAACAGCCATATTTTCCCGTGAACGTGTTATCGTGATATTTCACAGCATCATCCCTCTGGTAAATTGCAAATGGAGGATTGGAATAAACAAGGATTAATAGTAGTTTTTCCTAGTCATCCTTTGCAGCGGGTATTTCGCCTGTCTGATGTATAATCAAGAATGATGGAGAGGGTATGGAGGTTCCGACGTTCGTAATGGATACATATGCATGGTGGAGGTATACAGCGCCGGATGTAGTTTGTCAATACGTGCATACATATATCTTTCGGTAAATTCAACACACAGGATGGTGTGAAATTATAGGACAAAGACATATGTGCTTTTCTATCATTGATTTTACCATTCAAAGTAAATGGTGTCGCAAAATTCAAGTAAGATTTTAAGTAAATAGAGACTTTAGACTGTCATTTCTTTCTTGCATCATAAAGTACACAGGATAGAGATATGGGATGTTACACGATCGATACTTCATTGAAGCCGTGACGTCAGTAATTATTGATGTATAAGGTTACATAGAGATCCTGTGACAGTGACTGAATCATCAGTGAATGCCAATAGTACAGACTACAGTAAATAGATTCGCCATAGATTGGCACTTTGGGCAAAACACCGTCTCGACCACGTCAGCAATATGTACTCTTTTATCAAAATTTCTTATGACCATATTCCAAAGCACGGGTGTCTGTGGGCTTATTGGTACAGAACTTTGACTTCAAATAAGCTCATAGAAAGATAGATAGATAGTCTATTGTCCCATTAGACCATGTGATATGATATAAGACTTGTCACTATGACAAACATATATACGTTTGAGCAAATATTCCAGAAAAATAAGTATACAAATATAAAATAAATAAGGACATTACAATTAGAAAAAAGTACATAACATTTCAACATAAATGTCTAAGTTGGAAAACCACTTCTTCCTGTGTAACCAAGCAGTTATGAAATATTGGTGTCAGTGGTAAAAAAAGGTGTTAAGGCTAAAAATACATTCAAGATGAGATCTTACACGGCCAGTTTGCAAAAAAAACGTCAACAGTTGATTTCTACATTTATCTTGTTACTGGAAAATGCATAGTCGTAAATCTGAAATACCAGTCAAAAATTGAAACCTTTTTGGTGTTTAATCTTCAGAAAAAGATTCATATAAAAATGCTTAACGGTTTTAGCAAATTTCTGTTGTTACTAGTTTTTTGAGAAAAATAGCATTTTTTTGAGGATCTGTTCTGCGACTTTACATTCAAATGACCTCATATTGGGTTAATTCTTTTCCTAGAGGCTTACTTTGTCTTATATTTTCTGTGAAAATGGGTACATTTTATAGTAACTAGTAACATATACTTGCACTAATATCTTAAGAAGTTGTTAGATAAAAAAACGTATGTCGTATGCCACGGACCAACAGTGACATCGCTCGCAGTGTTACATCGAGATGTTTATAAATCGGGTTTGAACCGAAAACTGCCCTATTCATAATCAAGCTTTATATTTGCCATCACAGTTGTTTCTGATACGTAAAGTTGTAAGTTCTAGATTCTAGAACATCCAGTAAGGATAGTAGTAGACTTGAAGTAAATAATGTAAGTGCTAAGTGCCAAAACTATTATTTTCAGATAAACAATATTTTTTTGTGCTACAATGTATTAAGAAAAAATTCTCTGAAAATTAAACATAGGTGTATTCAAGTAAGTATTTTTCTGTGTACTTAATATTTTCGGGAACTTTTTGTGAAAAATAGCAGAAAAAAATTATGACTGTTACAAAATCATGGAATGTGCTAAGTGGCATTACAAAAATATAATTTGTTGTGGTAAATAATAACAAAAAAAAAATAAAAATTGAAGGTCTACTGAATATTGCTTCCAATAGATCTTCATAAAATTTTTTATTTTTTTCTTCAAATAAGGAATCATTGCCAGCAGATCTTGTTTTTTTTTCTTCAGATGTTCTACTTTGGCATGTCAGGTTTGGAAGAGCCATTTCTGCGATAGTTTCAATAGTAACGTTCTTCAACATCTTCGTTGTCTTCCAAGGCTCTATTTCGTTGAGGGTTTCTCAGATTCTAACGAATCCCGGATTTTCTCGGCTAATATTGATCCACGGCTTTCGAAATTTAAAGCTTGGATGTATTGATTGAACTTTCAGAAGCAACTTTAAAATTGCAAAAGTCCTCACGGTTCATGTTGTAACAACAAATGGTGTTTTTTTCACTGCTGCTATCATAATTCTCATGAAATCCATAGGTACCTTGCATTTCTCTTACGTTTTTCGCTTTTCAATTTGGACGAAATCCCTGGCGCAGCTCATATACGAATGACACGACACTAGATATTTTTTATTGATCTCATCGAAATACCCCTTGGAAACTAAATAAATCCATCAAAACAATAACATTTAGATTTATATAATTTATTTATATAAATAATCAAGGTTATATTTATTGGCACTTAGTAAATTTTTTACCGACGGCGTTATGGCGATTGACAAGCGCGCACTCTGTTGGATTTCTTTCAGTATAAAATAATGGCCATGGCACGTAGCGCTTTATCTATGTTGTTGGACATGGTACCTAGAACATTTTACAAGTATAAAATAAAAAACCGATTTTTTGGCACATTTTACTTCGTCTTTAGTTGTATGCTCTTTAAAAAAAGGTGTATGCTGCATCTCAAATTAAACATGCTCATTTCGAAAAAAGGAGGATGTTCGTTATTATATAGAGCGGGTGCTTTGTTAAAAATGGTGATAGTGCAAACCAAAACGACAACACTGAGGCGGTAGATAGTTGAGAAGAATATATGTGAAAACTGGCTACTACGGCACTCACTAGGAAAGCGCCAATTTATATGATGAAAGCTGGGACGTACCTACTTCTCATTCACATCCCTAACAATCAATACGAGGGATGTCTTTTAAGTTTTGCATATGGAAATTAAACAACACGGTAGGTATTTTTAAATGACATTATTGTTTTTGGAAGTATTCTCCACGAAGATTAATACGCATCTGCATGCGCTCGAACCAATTTTCGAAGCTCGTTTGCTGGCAGATCCAAAACGGCATTTTTGAATGCGTCAACTGCTTCTTCTGGTGACTGGAACCTTTGACCACGCAGTCTGTTTTTAATTTTCGGGAAAGTAAAGAAATCATTAGGACTTAGATCGGGACTATATGGAGGATAGTCCAATAACTCCACGTTTTCTTCCGTTAAATACTGCCTTGTTTTTTGGGTTGTGTGCGACCTTGCATTGTCTGGGTGGAGGATGATTCTTCTTTCGGGGTTGATTTTTCGCAGCTCGGTGATGACTTTTGGCAAACAAATGGTGCTATACCAATCCGCAGTAACAGTTCTTTGCTCATTAAGAGGAATTGTTGCAATATGAACCGCTTTTGATACAAATGTCGCGACCATCTTTTTCGAAACACGAGAACGGATGACTTTTGTTGGCTTTTCTTCACATTGGAACACCCAAACAGCCAACTGTCGTTTATTTTCTGGTTCATAACAGTAAATCCACGATTCATCATCACCAACAATGCTGTACACATTTTTGAGTTTCCGGAATTGAAACGGTCAGGCGTTTTTTGACACCAATTAACCCTGGCTGCTTTCTGCTCTTCAGTCAACAGGTGGGGTATCCAACGAGAAATTAATTTTCTTACTCCTAATTCTTCATGTAAAATTTTTTGAATTGAGGTCTTTGAGATCTTCAAGGACGCCTCAGCTCGCGATATGTCACATGCCTATCTTCAATGATGAGTTTGCGCACAGCATCGACGTTTTCCTGGGCGACTGCCGTTTTTGGTGCACCCACCCTGGGATCGTCGGTAAGACTCACCCGCCCACGTTTGAATTCTCCATGCCAACGGGAAATTGTCGACTGATGTGGTGCTTCGTTGCCGAAAACAGACAGTAACTCAGCAAGGCATTCTTGTTGCGATAATTGTCTCTGAAAGTTGTAATAAATTATAGCGCGAAAATATTCTCGGTTGAGTTCCATTTTTCTAATGACTTGGTGACACTTAAAAATTCACTGTAGTGAGAACACTGCACGTATTGTTGTGAAACTTTGAATTTAAGTTTACTAAAGAGTGAGGTTAAGATTCAGTACTGACGTTCGATCCGCGCGGCCTACTGTGTTTCTATATGCAAAACTTAGACATCCCTCGTAGCTCAATAGCTAGGTTTCTTCTTCCTTTTCAAGCGTTGCTCTGTCTACTAGGGAAATCAGCTTATTTTTTTTCATCACAATAAACATTTTTTACATAATACATTTTCATCTTGTAACGGATTATGCAATTTCCACTGACGAGAAAGTATTGTATCCGCGAGAAAGTTTCAAAATGACAGATGTTTTTCGTCACTCATTACCGTGGATCTGTCTGTAGGTCTGTCGGTATGTCCGCAAATGTTTCCCCTGTCTGTGGCAAGGCTGAAGGCATCAGTAATAGCCTCCTGCTTCTCTTCAATTTGTCATCATTTTTGGACATACCGTTTTTTCCATTCATATATTTATGCATATAACAAAGTTTTGAAGTTATAAACTTATGAATTGTTCCATATTTGATATTCTAACATATGCGTTCTTTATGCTGTTCAGTAATTAATGATTTTCCTGGACTACTTTTCTCGGAAGCATACTTTAACCTTGTAATTGTTTTTCCAATGGTATTGTGTTCTGTGGCGTCCCTCGAGATTTCGGCATCACGAAATTTAGCGCCCGCCCCCATCAATATTGTTTCGATTTTAATGCGATTAGTTTGGTTGCAAATAAAGAACTTTCTTTTAGAAGGACATACATGATAACGTGCTTTCTTCCATCTACATAGAAACTAGATAAGAATATAATGAAAAAACCAAATTTATTAACATCAGCAGTTCTAATATTCATAAAATATATGAAATTTTTCTATCTTAATTATGTGAAGGCTTCGTTGAAGTAAATAGAACAGTGGTACTACCCCATTTCCCGGAAAAAAAAACTCTCGCGTTCAAAGAGCGCACGCAGCGAAGAAAATCGACTCACCGCGATGAGGTTCAGAGTGGCAGTGTACTGAGCCGGGCAATTGAACTCTCGAACCCAACTCAGGACTTTAGCGCCACTCCTAAAGTTCTGGCATTGGTGATGAATACGCGCCTATCTCCCTGATTATCTACGTACCTCATTTGTAATAATCGGTGATGGCTGATGTTCTTAGTACGTTTTCCGATTTCTAGACCTTTCAATTGCTGTCCATATTTATCTGATCTCTATTTAGAACTGACTTTTTTGATCAGACTTACTCCGAAGAGCAGGTTATGAATGGAAGGCTGTGTTAGAGCATTCCTGATTTCTTTGTTTAAATGTGAATATCTGCCAGGATCTTGTAGTTAATGAACAGCTCACATGTTGCTGTACAGAGGCCAAGCGGGCATCTCTGCGTGTGACAATTTTTATTATAGCGGCTGCTACCTCATCTTAGGTGCTAAGGTCGCCGCATCATTGTGGTGATGCGTCATCTATTGAAACAGAATACATAGACTTTAAGACATCACAATCCAGAGCGCCCTGCTTTTCGAGTGCCACCTATGCAAAATTTAACGCTAATCGTGAAAAATGGTACTTAAACTATTTCTGAAAATTAGTACTTTGGTGGGTTTCTAACCTGTCATGTTTATACGTACAGTCCTGTCCCTTAGCTATCACCAACCAGGTGGAATTTGCTATGATAAGCATAATGTAACGCGAGTCTACCATAGATGTACCTAATTTGTATCTGTTATTAATGCAAAAATAGTACTCCGGCGGTTTCATACCCTGATATCACAAGTAAAATGTACATACCTAATTTTTATCTGTTATAAATGAAAAATGGTACTTCGGCAGTTTCCTCGCCTCTCTTGTGAATAATTACATACGTCCTGTTCCATGGTTATCCCAAACCAACTTGAATTTGCTGTCACAAGCAAAATGTAACCCTAACCTCGCATGAGGTACCTAATCTCTATATTTGGTAATAAGGAAAAAATATATTCCTTGGCGGTTTCCTAACCTGTCATATCTAAGCTTACGGTCCTGTTCCATGGTTATTTCAAACCAGGTGAAGTTTGCTATCACAAGCAAACGGGAAGATATTGTTGACCATACTTTGTTGTTACGTTGCCCAAACGCTTTCAGTGTTATTTGTCGTAGGATCTTAGTCATCATAAGCTAAGTACACGTTACTATCACAAGCAACGGAGTTTAGTGTTAAGTCGTTATCCCAAACGTCTTCCTTCGCCCTTGGTGTGGAGCTGACTACCAAAAGCCGGCTCCACGTTGCTATCGGAAACAACCGAGTCCAATGTTTCAATGTCATACCAAACGTCTTTGTTCGTCCTTGGTATGAAGTTGCCTATCACAAGCTAGGTAAAGGTTGCTATTCCAAGCAACATAGTCCAATGTTGGATGGTTATTCCAAACGTCGTGTCACGCACAGTCTGCAACGCGGGTGACGCATCCGTACTAACATTCACCTAACTTCATAAGTTTGCACAAAAAGCAGATCGCGACGAATGGAACTCTGAAGGCGACCTTCTATCGGCAATGGACATCATAATTATCGCTCTAGTTGTCTAATACCTATTTGTGTTCAGCGATTGCTCCTATGAGGAGCTGTTTCTTATGTTTGGCCACCTCGACACTGCTGAAAACGTGAAAATCGGTGCTCGAGAGACTAACAAGGTGTTTAGCGCGTGGCACGAGAACAAGGAATGAGAGTTTGTTGGCCAGTGGCCGGAGAGGAGGGATGTGGGAGGGCGTGGTGTGCCGCTTTTCGTCGCTGCGTGCAAGCTTTGAACTCGTAACCGGGAAACGGGGTACTACAACTGGTCTATTAACGAGATAAGGCCGGAACATAATGGATAACTAATGAACCACGAAGCAATAAACCTACAAAGCATACCAAAAGAGTGAGTGAAATGTATATAAGGATTGCGGCAGGTTAGTTGACATTTTGCGATGCGCAAACTGCCTGCGCCATATTTCACGCCCACTAGATTTCCGAGAGCTTCACCATCCTTGGAGACAGGATTGGCTTCATACGTATACATGTATCCCTTACTTAGTTTGACCTCCTAGCTCTTTGTGGGAATAGGTTGTTGGAATAGGTATTAAGTTGGAACTAGAATCCTGTTGCCTATTAGCCACCGTGCGCGTGCAGTTCAAAAACTGTAAATAACTGTTGTCTTCTTGCAAGAGAGTATTTAGACGGATTTGCAATGTTTAATATTACTAGAACCTTGATTCTCGTATTGCAGATTTAATATATATTTTATATTCACTTTTGTGGCCAATTCTGATTGAATAACTGTTAAATTATTTGTTAATGCGTGACGAGAACAAAAAACTAACTTTCTTTGTGGCTTAAATTCCTTTAGACTGCGGCTGCAACCTCTAGATCTTTGTACTTGTACCTTAACCAGTCAGCAAACATTACCTTCATCCTTCTCCTACTTCTCACTCTGTACAGAAATCCTGATATATCATTCTGCTCTCATATTTGAGGTCTTCCCTCATTATAATTGGATATACAAGTTTTGATCACCACAAAATACGTGGTGCTAAAAATAAAAACTCTTTCCCAAAGTTCGCTGTTGAAAAATATATGTGGTCGAAAGCTCACTTTTCAAACGACCCTACCCCGAAGATACTTTCTATTCAAGCTAGCTACCCAGCGTCGTCCATCTCACTGATAGACCTCTGAAAATGAGCTAAGTATTTGCGGGTTCATCCCTTTTCCTCATCCCCTTGCTCTTTCCCCCACTCCTCACGTAATAATTTGACGAGTCGGCATTTTCAGGCGCGCTCAGTTCGCCGCTGAAGGCTGTTGCGTCCGCCGTTACAGTGCGCTTTGAGTTGTCTACTCGCGGAGTTGCGGGTCGGGAGTTCGCGCGATATGAGAAGCTGCCGGCCTATACTTTAGGTAAGCGTTCCCGCATGATAAAAATCTTCTATAGCTTACAACATAAAACTAGTTGTTTTTAAAGTTTACGTATTAGTACTGTTACGAGAAAATATACAGGTTAGCAGTACATTTTGTTACCGTTCTTTCTATTCTCTATGTTCAGTAAAACAGTGTACATCAGAAGAAATTAACTTATAACTCAATTTTGCTTTCTCTGTCAGGTTAAACAATTCTTATGACATATGTAGTAGGTGGTATGGTTTGATTAAGTGGATACATCTTAACCACCTGTATTTGAACATTAGTAAATGCTATTTCATAAGTTTCTACAAATGTAGGAGTAGGATTTCGACTGGTAGTCTAATCTATTAGACGAAAACACCCCTGGTTTGCAAAATAATTGTAAAGTCTGGTTTTATTAATGCAAGTTTTTCAAGGGGGTATTTAAGTCATGGATGCATAAAATGGATACACCAATTTTTGTGGAAAAACTTTTTATCCGACAACAAAAAATGCAGAAGCATGCTTTTCGAGATTCAACCGACAGTGTTGGTAGGAACGAAATAACCTTTCAAATAAGATTCTCAAGTATCCATGAGACCCACAGAATGAGACCACATGTAAAAAGATCCGACTAATAGTTAAAAAGTGATGGCCGAAAACCGAGGCAAGATGCAGGTTTCAGCACCTGTTGGTAATGCGACGATAGTTTCACGCAGATACATGAAATTCTTCAAATTCGTAGGTTCCATACGTCTAAATAACGACAACAAAGTTGGAGTCGATTGGTCAAGTAGTTTTTTAAGAATTTCTAATTGTTTATCCCAAACGCAGCAATATACAGGGTTCGTTCAATAAGCATTTAATAGCAAAATACACTTGTTTACCTTGCTGATATCAATCACAAACCATTCCGAAAACTAAATGTTATTTTTATGCGAAAAACAAAGGTTACGTTTTTTCTTCTAAACAAATTCAAACATTTCGTTACTATACACGGATGTGTCTGTCATCTTTTGTTGCGAACTACTCACAAATAGAAATGTTTGAATTAGTTTAGAGGAAAAAAACGTAA